AACATCTTCTTTCATTTTATTTGAAAGCAATAATAAAATTATATAGAATTAAATCCGGATATTTTTGATTGGTATTAAAAATTAGGCTGCCAATTCTAATGGTTGTGGTAGGTAACTCACTAAGAGGTCAATCAATTCCTTTTAATTAATTTTAATTCATTATGATATTTATTGTAGAATAAGACATTCAGAATAGATGACTAAATTGTACTTGAAAATGAGTGATTTCAGGGATCATTAAATTATGCAATTGATTGTTCTGGTTCCTCATCAAAATGGATTGGAAGGTAAGAGTTCAAGATCATCTTTAGAGGTGCAAGACTTTTCCCATTAACCTCCAGGCAACCTTTTCATTTCAAATAGATACATTTTACGTTCCTATTGACACAAGATCTGTTAATGTGTACTAAAGACCTTGTGCATGTATATCTCTACTTGCGCATCAAGGAATGAGAAGCTCGTGATTTGGACAAAGTAAACCAAGTTAAAAGGGTCACTTTGCTACCTTTGTGAGTGATCCTAATTAGCTGCCATTACCCATGAGACGTTCTGCAAGAATGACGAAGTAGTCACTGTTTTTAACTAATGGGACCCTAATAAATTTTGGTGATAATCTTAAATTTTACTGCATCAAATTCAGAACTTTGTTGTGAAAATTATCAGGACGATATTCTCCAAACTCGCTAGTAATAAATATGTTACCATCGTTACATAATAAAAATGATGCATATAAGATTTACGTGGAAAACCCAGCACGACGAAAAGTAAAAGAGAAGAAAGTAGTGACTTTCGAAATGTGATTTCCATGTCTCATTACGCCTGAACACCTCTTCCTCTCCAAATGCACATCCTTACGCCATACAACTGCATTGTGTTTGGTCATCCGACTCTAACTGAGACTAGTTTTAAATACCATACACCTGCATTATCTCTGAACCCACCCATTGATTGACTGGGGCTGCTTCTCGCCACCCACTACGCACTGAACCCATGTCTATCCCCCGATGATACCCATATTAACTTTGCACATCTGCAAACAATGTCGTGGCACAATAGGGAGAATAAGCTTTCTGGATGAAAAATGTTAAATGCAGTGAAGATTTTGAAATAATTCTAAATCAGTCTTACAATGGATACTGCGAATTTGAACTGAGATGTGCAGAAATAATGGAAAAGATTAATGCAAGAAAAGATGTCGTCTACTAGCATGGGTATCTCGACTTCAAAATTGCCCAATAGGCGGACAAGATTCCTATGGGTGAGCTCAGAAAGTATTAACACCTCATTGGCAAACTCGTTTCCCTTCTCTTATCAATATTGTGATATTTCATCGTAGAAACGACTCTATTCTGCTACTATCTCGTGTCTCTTTCATCAAGAACGTTTCGACTGTCAAACTCTCTAATGCTCAGCTATATATCATATATATATACACGCATCCATAACATGAAAAGCATGAGGCAGGACTGTTCGAGAGAGAGAGAGAGAGAGCTGATCCAAAAGGTCCAAACGGCGAAGAATCGTCAACATAGAACTTCATGTTAGATTTGTCTATTCTGCTGGCAAGACTGGTAGGAGGCGCTGTTTGAACCTGTTGACCACAACCATACACGGCAGCCGTGAACACATGGCTGAAGTAGATCCAGATGCGGAGGTGCTCAGCGGTACAAGTCTGAGGAATAGTGGGAGACTTAAGAAGCGTCGCAGAAGATTTGCCACAGTATAACTAGCCTGCGGAGACCGTAACATGTATAAGCACCGCCGGAGACCGACCACCGTGAACGAGGAACACAGGTTTCCATGAGCATTGGAAGGTCAGGAATGATCATTCCACGCCATTCGCCATTGAGAGACAAAACGTAAAGAGCGATGTATGACGATAGAAAGAGGGAGGGCGGGTGCGATGTTGGGGAGAGGGGAGAGAGACACACACACAGAGAAAGACAAAAGATAGTCTGGTTGGGTAGGCCATGTAACTAGAAGACTATAGTGACGTCGGGTCGATTTCCAATCTCTCCTGCCGAACTTTTGGGTCTCACGCTCTCTCCCTCACTTGTTTATTCCTTGAAACTTTTAATGGTGAGAATAGACGTCACACTCCATTACAGGTAGATCGATTTCAAAACAGCGAGTCGTGAAGACCGGATGTGCCGCGACGACCAGTGGAAGGGAAAATAGACCGGCCGCTCCACGCAGCCGTGAAGACTGGGACAGAGAATCGTTGACTTCATGAAGTGCATAGTCGCGAAGGCTTGCACCTAGAACGCTAACTTGACCGGCAAAGAATGGGTTTCTCTTCCCACTCTATAAATACGGAGGGAAGTCGAAATGGCGTAATGCAGATCCTGGCCCTTTCAGACTCTTAACTGCAAAGGTTTCCCTGGGGCCAGGACAGTTCGACTCTATGGCCTCCTGTCCCCCACGAACATGGATGATGACCATCGCCGTGGCAATCCTTTCTGCCTTTCTAATGGCAGGCCCAGCAAGTATTCTCTCCTCCTTTCTAGTCTAACTCTCCTCTCCTCCGTCTCATCCCTCCCTCCCTCCCTCTCCCCCACCATTTCATAAATATCTGTTTACATGCCTCTCGCCTCCCTTGCTCGGCATCTGTTCACATGATCCCAGTTCTGATCATGGCCCGCATTGTTTACATCAGACGTTCTAAATATTCAGCTAATCACTCATCGACGTTGCCTAAGAGATCACGAAATGAGGCCTTTCCTTATTAGGAGACGTCTGGTATCAAATCTATAGATTTTGACGGAACAACAGCTCATATTTCTCGTCTACATCTTTTTCCCGCAGGAGCTAAAGTCGGCGTTTGCTATGGCATGCTGGCGACAACCTGCCACCACCCGCTGAGGTGGTGGCGCTCTACAAGCAGAACAATATTGGCCGCATGAGGATCTTCTTCCCTACCAAGGACGTCCTTCAGACCTGCGGGCTCCAACATCGACCTCATCATGGACGTCCCAAGAGAACACTTGCAGGGTATTGCCTCCTCGGCTGCCACGGCCTCTGACTGGGTCCAGCGTAATGTCTTGGCTTACTGGCCGGACGTCAGGCTACGCTACATTGGCGTCGGAAATGAGCTCATCCCCGGAAAGACGGAGGCCCAGTACGTCCTCCCCGCCATGCAGAACATCTACAACGCGCTCTCTTCCGCCGGCCTCGCGAATCAGATCAAGGTTTCGACGGTCGTCGACATGGGAATTCTCGGACAATCTTATCCCCTTCGGCCGGCAAGTTCACCGCCAGCTCTAAGCGTTTCCTGACGCCCATCGTGGGGTTCCTAACGCGCACCGGGGCGCCGCTACTGGCCAACGTCTACCCGTACTTCTCTTACATCGGCAACAAGAGGGACATCTCGCTCGACTACGCCCTCTTCACCTCCTCGGGCACCGTCGTCACCGACGGGCGCTTTGCCTACAAGAACCTGTTCGACGCCATTCTCGACTCCGTCCACGCTGCCCTCGAGGAGATCGGCGCGGGCGGCTTGAAAGTCGTCGTTTCGGAGAGCGGCTGGCCGTCGGCGGGCGGCGACACCGCTACCATCCACAACGCCCGACCTACAATCAGAACTTCATCCGCCACGCGCCGCAAGGGACGCCGAGGAGGCCGGGGAGGCCCATCGAGGCTTACATATTCGCGATGTTCAACGAGAACAAAAGCCTCAGGGCACGGAGCAGAACTTCGGGCTGTTCTACCCCAATAAGCAGCCCGTCTACCCAATCAGCTTCTAGTGTCGATCATCCATCCAGTAAAGCGTACTAATTCACGCATGCCTGAATAAGAAAGCTTGAATTCCCTTCCTGAAGAGGTCCTACTGGGATGAATAAGCCTTAAATGAATACGTTTTGATATATATCTTGGGAGTCAAACGAGGAAGAACCGTCTGTAGTAGTTCTTCATCGAATGAATGAACGTAAAAGACGTTTATGGCGAGAAGGATATAGCATTTTACGGACAGACAGACCGATATGAATGTTGCGGCCGTGGTCAGCTGGAGTCAATGGAACAGCGCCGAGCTTAGGCTGTGGTACAAAAGAAAAACCCTAATCCCGACCAAAGCCATATAGGAAAGTTCAGAAAACTAGGCCATGAGAAAGAACCCCAAGGGACATATTCTACGGCAGCAAGATTTTATTGCAATTTTATTACGCAGTCGTTGGCGAGCGATTGTAGCTGGATGGGAAGAAAATAGGTGATGCTGCTCGCGGGGCCCGTCCAACTCAAAATTCACTGGCATTTATTAGGATGTATCGATTTTATATTGCCTGCCCTATTTTTCTTGGTGTTGCGACCAAATCCACTGAAGAAAGATCGATCATCTGATGTATGTATCATATTCGGGGTACTAAAGAAATCCATCCAGAACGCTTTCTAAATTGATTGCGTCTGAAAGTTGATCGGATAAACCGGCTGCTTGTTGGGGTAAAACAGCCCAAAGTTCTCCTCCGTGCCCGGCGCTTTCTTGTTCTCGTTGAACATGGCGAATATGTACGTCTCAATGGGCCTCCCCGGCTTCCTTGGCGTCCCTCCCGCGTGTGGCGGATGAGGTTCTGGTTGTAGGTCCGGGCGTTGCCGACGGTAGCGGCGGCGCTGCCAGCCGACGGCCACCCACTCCGAGACCACGACCTCTAAGCCGCCCGCGCCGATCTTCTCCAGCGCCGCGTATACGGAATCCAGAACAGCGTGGAACAGGTTCTGGTACGAGTTCCTCTCGTCGGAGACGACGGCGCCGCCGGCGGTGAAGAGGGCGTAGTCGAGGGAGACATCCGCGGGTTGCCCACGTAAGCGAAGTAGGTGTACACGTTGGCCAGCAGCGGCGCGCCGGTGCTGGACAGGAACTCAACGATGGGGCCGAGGAGGTCCCCGCAGCGGCGGTGAACTTGCCGGCCGAAGGGGATAAGACTGTCCGAGAACCCCGGTGTCCACCGCCGTGGAGACCTTGATGTGATTCTCGAGGCCGGCAGAAGAGAGCGCGTTGTGTAGGTTCTTCATGGCGGGAGGATGAACTGGGCCTCGGCGACGCTGGGGATGAGCTCGTTCCCCACCACCAGTCGGCGGAAGAGGACGTTAGGCCAGTGGGCACGGACATTGCGGCCGATCCAGTCGCCGGCGGTGGCGGCGTCGGAGGCCAGCAGCCGGAGGTCCTCCCGCGGGACGTCGAGAGTGAGCTCGATGTTGGACCCGCGCAGGGCCTCGAGGATTTCCGTGGTGGGGAAGTAGATGCGCATGCGGGTGATGTTGTGCTGCTGGAAGAGCGCCACCACCTCTGCCGGAGGGGGGAGATTGTCGCCCAGCATCCCGTAGCTGACGCCCACTTGACAACCTGCGGAAACAACAGCGTACGTGAAGCCTCACTGATATGAAGGTGTCGACAGCGACGACATCTTCTAATCATTCATGCAGTCGCAGTAATTAACGTGCACCTAGTTTGAAGATGATTTTCGCCAAAAAGAACAAAAAGACAGACATCCAGAGCGGAGATAGATGAAGTGCAATGAGAGAGAGGGAGGGAGAGGGAGGGAGGGGGAGGGGGATAGGGAGAGAGAGATTACGTGCTGGGCTAGCCAGTAATACGCCGGAGAGCAGAGCTACAAAAACTCCCAGAGAGGCCATGGAGAAGAGGAATCGCTGGGACGCCTTATTGATGGAGAAATGACAGCGTAATAGAAGCTGCGTGCCTGCCTAGGGCGACCATGTCCTCCATCTCCTATTTATAAATGGGAGGATGCGGGGGTGGGACTGAGAGAGAGAGAGAGAGAGAGAGAGAGAGCCTTTGCTTGGCAGCAAATCGGAGGCTCTTCAACACGAATCTTCGCCTCGTTAATCATGGTGATCCACCTTCTAAATCAGCCCTCCTACAGAAGTCGCAGTCCGAGGTAGCTTAAGACAGGAGTCAACCCTTTCGCCGGGCATTCGTTCTTCTTCCAATTAGTCAATTCCATTCTAGGAAACAAAGTAGCCGATGGAGTTTCCTCTATGGGACAGAATATCGGTTTTTTAAGAAATTAAAGGAGCTAAAATGCACATAAATTGACGTTGAGCAGAATTTCTCTCAGATTCCGCTATTGATTTCCATGGACGAACTCCCTAATACCAATTTGGTCGCCCCCTTGCCTGCTTCCTAAGACCACCCAGCAAGTATTTTCTCTCTCTCTCCCCCCCTCAATGTCTCTCTCCCATGCTTCTCCTACGTGTTCCCTCAAAGTCACGTCTCCTTGGCCAAGGAAACAGTTGGCAGTCGTCAACTTCCTCTTCCGCTAGGCGATGGTGCTGACCGGCTTATAATTGACAATCACAGTGTAGGAAATCGGCACGTGCCGATTAATGGGCGTTACCCGAATGATGCACGTCACGAAGGGGAGTGATGGCTTTCAAATGGCTGTACAATGCGGTGGACGTCTGAGAGGGGGGAGGCGGAGCTTACTCGATAGCCCATTAAGAGCCCAATCATCACCAACCCGTTTGAGCCCACTAGTTATGAAAGTGGCTTATATAAGATCACACAATAGTGTTGCAAGATAATATACTAAAAATTAAATAACTCAAATTTGAAAAGAAAGAGAGTTTATAGATAACCCTTTCACTAGAAGAGATGACTAACATGTGAAGGAACATATGATGAAGTTGGACCCACTTTGTAGATAGTTGATGAAATGTTAATTATTGATTGAGTAGTTGATAGTCAACTAGATAGTTGATTATTGACTAGAGATAAATATTGACCATATAGTTGACCATTGACCACACTAATTGGGCTAGGCTGTATGCATTCAAATGAGCAAGATACTAGTATTGACTAGATGGTTCAAAATTGTTCAGACTAGCATGACGGGTTAGTATGAGATGACAACTAGAGATGATTCAAATTATACTAGCGGCTTGCTCAAACTTGGTAGTTGAGTTGGTTCAAAGATGACAATCTATTGGGAGGATGAGTCGCCACCTCCTACGAGCGTACCAATTGCAATGAAGAGCCTCTTTTTGTTATGTGAACTTGAGGATGAAATTCTCTAAGATACACCATACCTCTATCCAACTTATCTCCATCGGATATAGTTGTTGGAGATTGCAAAGTTGCTATTTTTTTATTTCATCGGGTGACAATTGAAGATGATTCGACCACTTGCTTCATTAATTTTTAGACTTCACAAGAAAATCTAGAGATTACCCACATCATCTTTATCCAAGAAGAGCTTTTGAGATTGTGGACATCATTCGATAATCCTCCCGAACATAGAATTTTTACGATTATTGTCACGAGACTAGAACTTAATTTTTTCTACTTTAAACTTAATTTTTACTTAATTTACTAATAGTTTATGTGATTTCAAGTTTCAAAACTCTTCTTCATTAAATTATGATTCTTCTTACTTTTATATAACTTAATTTGATCAATTAAGTTGTTTATAATCACTTACGTAAGAGTCACCAGGTAGAATAGTATTTCTACCTAATTTACATTCATCGTGTCGTTAATGCCATCCTGATGTCCTCACTCTTATTTATCTTTTTTGTAAAATTTTAAATATATTTTATATTCTTTCTTTAGTCTAAATATTATAAAAAAAAATATTATTTTAAGAAAATTCTAAAATATTATCTAATATTATCTTACATCTTTGTGATCTACTTAGAAATCCACTATTTTTAGAACCTTTTATTGAAATTATAATTAATTTAGTTCTTTTAAAATATTTATAAAATTTCCAAAAATTAGTACTTTTTAATTTATAAATTTTAAATTTACATGATTTATCATACAACAATTAGGTAAAGGGAAAGAAATCAATAACATATTAAATATCATGTATAAGAAATAGTTGACCAAAAAACTCTTTTCTAATAGCAACCTTTAAAGTGATTAAGGTGGAAACATTTATAGGTAGATTATCCTCAAATGCTTTTACTAAGACTACCCAAAATGAAGATCATGATTTGATATCTTATTGCAATCTATGTATATTAATTAAGTGCAAGTCCTTAGTATGAGTTGGTTCCTTTGAATCAATTAGTGGAGATTGATAAGAGTGTCAAATGATCTTCTTAACATTGTTTAGAGAGAAACAAATGTTAAGTCTCACATCTTGTGTGACATCTTTATCATATAGTGCCATGGCCTCCCTAGTATGAGACTACCTACATCGATTTGTAAGACCACACTTAATTTGATCTTCAAATGAATTAATCTTGACAAACACATGACTCCTTTTTTGAATTAAAATGGAAGAAAAATCTAACTAAGATATCTTGTAAGGGTTTGAATGATCAACTTGAATAACCCCTAAGTGTTGCGCAATAATAGTGAAAATTACATTGATATAACTCCCACTATCTACTAGGATTTTACCAGCCTCTCCCCCAATCATGACAAAGGTATGATAGATAGAAGTTTGAAAAGTATCCTCCTCTCCTTTGGGCTAGGTTAGTATACATCTCATAACCCCTAAATGAATATCATCTAAGTGGTTAATTAATTGATCACTTTTTCTTGAGACATATCCTACAAGGTGTTCATCTTCTATGAAATTGTTGAGCAAGGTGAAAATCAACATTGTATTCATCTTCTTCTAATTGGTCAAATGCATCAATTATATTTTCATCTAATACTGAATTCATATTGTATTCTCCTATGTGAAGGGTATGAGTTGGGCATTTTTTAAGCGCAATATGCATATCCTTTAGATTTATATGACTTGTCCCTAGAGGTACTACTCTGAGGTAGCTCATTATTTACTATCTCCTTTCCTTTATCTTCTTATTTCTTAGACAATTTAATTTTAGGAATTTGGGACTGAACCATAGTAGGTGTGTAGGCCAAGGAGAATTGAGAGCTTTATGTTTGACTACCTACTTGGGTAATTCTACTTGAAGCATTCTGAATGTTTGATCATTCAATGGTGTTCCCCTAGGGTCATTGTGTGATGGGCTGAGATATAGATGTTTATTTAATAAGTTGAGATTTGTGATACCTCTCTACATCTTGAGCTAACAAATAGGCATGTTTGCATGCGTTAGCCTTGCAAAGAAAAAGTTTCTTTAGAATGTCCTCTTTTAATCTACTCCTAAGTCTTGATCAGGTCACCTCCATAACCTCATAAAAACTTCATCATATTGTGAAATATTTTCTAATATAGAATGATTCCTTAACATTATTTTTTGTCTCTAATCTAAGTGTTTAGATTTATAACTTGTTCTTCATTTCCACCATAATCTTGATTGGATTCTAATATCACCTTGCTCATTGTAAACAACATGAACAAATTTTTAATCTTTATAAATTGAATTCAAAATAATAATTAAAATTAAAATTTTGGTGAACTGAGGTTGTCCATAGGTATGATGGTCAATCTCAATCTGAATTTCTTTTGTTCTAAACAGTTTATTGAAATAAAAAAATGAAGAAAATAAAGAAAATAATCTTCTCCATGCTTTAAACCTTATAAATTGCATGAGCTGTAAATATTCATATTTTGATATTTTCCCACATTCAAAATTGATATATCACTCGAGACCTGCAATATATTTCAGAGAAAATCAAAAAAATAAAAACAATTTATATCACGTAAAACACATAGAATCAAGAAATATTAGACTGGAGAGAGAAAATAAAACTATCAACAAGAGACCATGTTGGCAGTAAAATGGGAAAACGATTTTGATTTGAATTCATATAATACTTGACTAACCTATGAAAATAAACTTATTCCAAAATCTTAAACAAGTTAAAATTCATTAGAATCCTTAAAATCAAGAGTAAGAACTAAAAAAATGAAATAAATCAGTGAACTCATCCCTATCTGCCACCTAGGAATAGAGTAACATTGTGGTAGAAAATAAAATGAAGAGCTTAAAAAGTGAAAAAAATATTGATTAAAATGCTTAATCCCGTCATCTGCCTGTCACCCAAATGAAAGATTAAGCTAGAAAAAAGATAAATCGAATCAAAATGGAAATCGAATTAGCACTCACCATCCATATCTCTACTCATCTGTCACCTAAAAACATAGTACAGGGAAATCATGTACAAAGTGAATTAAAGCCTAAATCTCTTTGTGTGTCTATCACCCAGATGATGGATTAAGAAGGAATGAAAATAAAATGTAATTAAAATAGAAATTGAACTTGCATGTGCCCAACATTGCTCTGCTCATATCCATTCATCACTTGGAGATAATTCAGTTTGAAAAGCTTGGAAAATACTCTAATCTTTCCCTTTTTATCATCTAGAAAGTTCGTCCTTTATCCCTAGAACTTCCTTTCAAATTTCATGCAATAATATTGCAACCATTTTGAAATC